GCCCGATTTCCACTTTTTCGGAATTTTCCACTTCGTTAAAAAAGCTGGTGTTCCTATAAGACGTTATCTTCCTTCATAAATCATAAACCTATTGTGAAGAACGATCATTACTTTATTGCTGTAAGACTTTGGGGGCCAGAGCTTGGGGTGCGTTTGAGTAAGAGGGAGTTACTTGTAAAAATTGTAGGCTTGTATGAGATAGTCTGTAAATCTTAATAATAATCCCTCTAGTGTTTTTCGGTGTTATTTTTTTATTAATAGATTAATAGGAAATCGAAGAGGCAGTCGACGGTCTCGGTGATCAGGACGGTTGTTAAAACTGACGAGTCGACTAGCAAGGACCTTATACTACCGTTTAAGTTTATGGTATTGACGCTGACAGTGAATACGAAGGCACCTCAGTAACTACATGATACTGACTGCCGTTTTACGAACTTCAACATCTATTTTAACCTCTTCGTTATTGCATGAAACGAAGAAATTGACATGTGAAAAATCGGATTAATTAGCAGGGCATCCTTATGGATATTCCGTAGACTATAAAGTTGAGGAGTTAGTCTGCTAGTGGTCGCAGGCCTATCCATCCCTCCTACGTGGTCTTCTTAGGGAATCGGTCAGTTCTGTGTCTACTATATTGAATCAAACCTGCTATTTTCTGAATTTCTTGTGACCTGACAAGATGGACGGCCTCTTCATTACGCAGACAGGCTTGTTCATTTGGACGATACTCGTTCCTTTTACGGCCTACTAACTAATATATACTTTTAACTTGAAGCTGTTTAAACTTCCCTACGTGTACTTTTGTCAAAACTTCCAGACTCTTTGCCCTCTTATTGAGGCTCTAATGATTACAAAACACAAGTATTGATTTAAAGTGTTGGACAACGGCTACCGGAACGGGCTTTAGATCGTAGGTCTGGTTAAAAAGATTCTCCAACCGGGTCTTTAACTCTAACTGGTTAACTATTTGACGAGGCATGCAGAAGTAAAAAAACTAAGGGATATCGCTTCAAGCGGTGTTCTATCGGCTGCCATAAAAGAATGGTTTTACTACGCACAGATCGAGATCTTTTAGAATATGTGTTTACAAAGACGAGTATAATTGTGGGAACCGTTATTGGCTGGTTAACCATTTTTAACAAGTTACATTAAGTCAGTGGATCTGAATAATCTAGACGCTAAACCCCGATCCTTCTGGACTTCAAGTCAGGGGTCTTTGTCCTGCCTGCTGCGAACAGAAACATTATCGATCGGGGGGATGGTAGTCGTTCACAGTTTGAGTAGCAAACCGCGACAGTTCGACTGCGTTTTGGGGGTCAATCTAGATCCCCGTGGAAAATCTTTTAGCGACTGCCTACGAGGGTTCTGACCTGCGCTTCAAAGCCTAGCAGTGTTCAACCAATGAAAGAAGTCGCCCTTCGATAATATATATCCGAAAGATAAAAACGGCACAGATATCTTAACCGTAACACCTATGAGGATCAACTCGTAAAAACGAAACCTATATATATTCGTCACTCAATAAGCACTTTAAAACAAAGGCAATTACTGTACATTTTCTATTTTGCTTTAACAAAATAAAAGTATGTGTGCTTCAGAAATGCACTATTTTCAACTCCTAGTCAGTGACCGAGTGCATGGAATGCCAATCAAAATGCCAGCAAACTTCCAATATAACTCTTTGCTACATCACACTTATCCGTCAAGTCCAAATTAAGTAGTATGTGTCTTATTTATCGAAATTTTGTTGCCTGTAAAAATGCCTAATAACGCTCTGAAAAGAAGCGTCCATTTTTTGGGCTAATGCATGATGTCGATTTTATGCTAAAGAAGAACGCACACGGAATTTAAACAGATTCTCCTGTGGGAATTTTTCAAATTTTTGCATACTCACGCGAAAATCGAATGTCTAGATGCTCGAAATTATTGCACTAAATGCCCGAAAAGCCATGGGTTTCTGTCGAAATATAATGTGGGGCCTCATAGCAAGGGCATTATTGTATTTGTATTTGAAGGATTACTTACAGAGCCCTTGATGAAGGGCCAGGTTTAGGTTGCAATAGTGGAATTATATTAAAGGCAGCGCGAGAACCCGAATAATAAGAGGAACGAATTTTGGTTAAAAAATAGCACTTCGTGTACAGGACGGCAAATATCGCTAATGAAGGGGGAGCCATTAAGTGTTATAGGTATTCAGTAACATAGAAACTAGAACCTATGAAAACGGTAACTCCCCGTATATGGAGTACACGTTTCTGATGCTGTTTCCGATGATGACTTGAAGGGGGAATACGAAACGTCAGAAGAATAAAGTTATTTTCGGGGCTATCGCTTCTACTCCTTTTTCAGAAGATAAACAGTTAAAAACGTAAAGTGTGCCTATTTTCAAATTTTCATTAAAAGAGCCGCCACGTTTATCATAAGA